ACAGTAAAGTCAGAAACATGAAATTTTGCTGTATAAACACATACAGTACACAATGTCATTATCAACACAGTACACCAACCACTTACTAAGAATATATCAGAAGGACAAAGTAAGAACAAGTGGGCTTAAAATACAGCAAAAAAGGAAAACAGTTTTAAAGTTAGCCAAAATGAATAAGAGAAGTTGAAATCTCCTAAAGCATAAATATGTTCTGCTTAGCCATTAAAATGACTGTCACCTACACACAGGAAAAGTTCAAACACCTTAGCATGAAAAACAAAACCCTTCACGAGCTAAGCACAATCTATTACTCTGAAGTCATCTCCCACCACTTCTTCCAAGCAACTGTGTCACCCTCCTCCTCTGCTCATGTACCTCTGTGCAGACTGTTCTGGGCCTAGGTGTTCATGCCACCTTCTGTCAAACTGCAACTCATCCTTCAAGTATGAAGGGTTATTCATTTCCGTAGAGCCTTTCCCCACGTCCCAGGCAATAGTCTCTCCCTTTAAGCTGCTGCCAAATCACAAAAGACTACACGTCTCTCCAGATATTCTGAATAAAAGATGAGAGAAAGAAAGAAAAGAAAGGGATACAGAAGATCTAGGGAATGGAAGGGGGAAAGAAAGTCTCTACCCATTCATAAAGTTCACTGCTGACCCTTAGGAGCACCGAAGTTTCAATTCCATAACAAACAATATCCCATTTCAGAAATACTGCTTTGTAAAGGCACTACAGAGAAAGCAATGACAAAATGATATTGACAAGGAAAATGTAACCTAAAGACTTTTCATATCTTACCTCCTTCTTCCTTGACTTCTTCAACAGGCTCTCCTGAAAATGGCTCCTTTATGACAGGATGATCGCTTCTGTCTTCTTGGGTAACTGGCCCAGGCCTGAGTGCAATCTTCTTCCCTCTCCTTGAGCCAGTGGCCTGGAGTTTTCCTTTACCAATGTGTATATTAAGGGGGTAGGAAGACTCCAAGGAAGGTAGGGTGAGTCCCTGAGAGATGGCCACATCAACAGCTTCTAGAATTGGTACATTTGTGTCCTGTATGAGCATCCTGGGGTTCAAAGATGTATCCTCCATACCAAGCTGATTTCCTGCATCCTGCACAGATTGTACTTCAAAGCCTGCGACTCTGCCATGACTTGGACCCCAGGATAGTGACACTGACCCCAAGTCTTTAACCTGGTCAGATTCTTGTTTAACAGCTGATTCTGGGCCTATGTTTTCTTCCTCCTGGTTGCCCTTATGCTGTGGGGACTCTGTCACTGTAGTTCTTCTCTTCTTACAAGGCAACATTTTAAAAGTCCCACTTCTGTTCCATCCTGAAAGGACAAAAGCAAGTTCTTATCACCTTCATGTTAATTAATGGTAATAACATTTGCTCAATTATCTTTTCATTTATTCATGTCCAATCATAACACAATACTTCATACCAAAGGCACAATTTCTCTTTAGGTGTAAGATGAGAGACAATGGTTAGAGTGACTGAGTTCAAATCCCAACTCCACTACTGACCAGTATGTCACCTAGCCAAGGCACTTAACCTCTGTAAGCATCTGTTTCCTCAACAGTGAAAAATATTGATTGTTCTTATCTCAGAGAGCTGTCGCAAGAATTAAATAGTAAATGATTAGTAAGTGTTTTATTATTATTATTACCATCAGGGAGGTAGACTAGCATGATGCTGAGAGTAAACTGTGGACCAAATTGGATTTGCTTCCCAAGTCAGCTCTCTCCAGCTTTGTGACCTTGCCAAAGTTATTTAACTTAACTCTCAGTTTCTTCAGCTATAAAGTGAAATAAAAATAGCATCTACATCTTTAGCTAGTAAATGATTCATAAATGTTTGCTACTGTTTTCATAAGCAGCTACTTCCATTAATAAAAACAATTCAAAAGCAAAATGTGGCTGTTTAAAAATGCTAGTAACAAATTTTGTGCTGAAACAAGGGAGAGGAGATGTCTATTGTTTTTTGCATTATGTTACTTCTTGACTCTTGGCTTCAATTCTAGTGATCACATTTTAAAGGCAATACTGATCTAAACTGGATGGCATCTTCTTTTCTGTTCTTTTTAACACCTGTTTGCAAGCCTCTTTTATAGTACTTATCATTTTTGTAAACATCTCTATGCCTATCTCCTTCCCATCTCCCTTCTCCAAAACTATGAGCTTCTAGAAGAAAAAGACTCTTTCAACTAGTATCTCTAACATTCAGCAGGAGCTGGGTATTGTAGATACCCAATGAATGTTCCATGAATAATGAGTCAATGAAAGAGGGCTTAAACAACTTATTCTGTGCAGCATTTGGACCAAATGTTAAGCATCATATGGAAACTGCATCTTACCACCCAGGAAAACCTTACTCTCATAAACAGATCCCAGAACAAAATAAGCTGCCTTGAGTTACATCACTGGCAATGTTCAAAGTCTGAATGCCCACCTACCAGAGTACTAGATGAAAGCTTGGACTAGAAAACTGAAAAATACGAATTGTTTCTAACTCTTACAAGTCTGATCTATTTAACTATATAACGTGAGTTTTAAACTTCCTTAATTCAGTTTCTCCAGGACATTAGGAGAGATTCCCCTTGCGTCCAATCAACCGATGTCCTTATTCTGGTAATTAAAACTCAATAAACACGTCAAGATTCCATTGATTCCTGTGAGAGAGGATGGTGAGTGGATAAGGAGTGGAGTAAGAGCAGCCTTTTAGGCGATTCCTTTATTTCACAGATGAATTACTGTGAATGACTTTCACAGAGGTTTAGAAAAGAAAAAAAAAAAAGAAGAAACAAGGAAAGAAAGAAAGGTAGCTGCTATTCAAAGTTAGCGTGCAGGGATCGGCCCCAGGCACCTCAAACACAGCAGCAATGCGAAAAGTCCGCTCCTTTGGGAAACGGAGTCGGACCGACGGGTGAATGTCAATCTGGAGGCAATCCCGACTCGGCCCTCTCCTGGGAAAACATTTCCCAAAGGGGGTCCTAACTGTGCTTTCCATTTCGGCGCCGAACGCTGGTTCAAGTCCCCACGCCTACATAGAACACCTTCGCACTCCTAACTTCCGTCATGCACCCAGCGCCCACCCTCAGACCTGACCCCCCTCATCCTGGGCATCCTTCACCCAGGTGTCCCAGCTCCCACTTGCCTCTTCCAGTCCCACGGCACCCAACCCAGTACCCTCACAAGCCGGCCTGATCCCGCGGAAACTCGGCTTAGGAACCACCGGAAGTCAGCCAACGGCAGCGACCGACGTGCGCGTCCCCGAGTTGTGGTACGCCGCGCTTCCGGGCGTCAAGGAGCATGCGACAAACCTTAGGCGCCATCCTATTTTAGGGCCGAATGAAGCCACGGCGCTAGTACGTCAGTTATTGGCAAAAAAATTTAAAGGTCCTACTTCGCTTGCTCTGCCCATGAACTACCCTACTCGAAACCGGGATTGAGGTTCAGTGGTTTAGATTGACAACTAATCTTTCTCGCCGCGAGACACCTGGAACACAGGACCAAGGAAATGAAGAATTCACAAAATTTCAGAAAGAGAATTCTCCAGGTTCCTGAATAAAGCTAAGGCAGCCTTGGCCTCAAGCTATAGTAATTACTCAAATATGTACAATATTCTGAATTTTACAAAATGCTCTCATATTATCTTAGGTGATTTGGCCTCCACAATAAGTTCTGTGGGACAACGGATATTATTATATCATCTTCCAGTTTGCACAGGACAAATTTCTGGCTCAGCTGAGTTGGTGATTTCACAAAGGTACACACTATAAAGGGGAATCAGTCGATGCTCAGTAATTCAATACGTGTTTTTTTAATTAATTACTCCTAAAGCCATGTTCTTTCCACTTTTCTAGAAGGACAGAATGTCAAAGCTGGAAAAATACATTCAGCTTCATCACAGGTGAACCACCAACAAATTTTTATTCACTTGAACTGAATCCGACAGGATGAAAGTATCCACAACCAAAATAAAGGATGGAATTGATGTAATCATGGCTATAATCGCCAGGAATCTGACTCTAACATGAATCACACCAAGTCTCCCAAATACCAAGGAAGTCTCCAGAAGCTTGGAGTTTCATTTGTGTCCTCATTTTGACCTACAGTTCTTTTAGGCTAGTGTGCTTCTTTCTCTTTCTCTCTCTCCCCTCAATCCCTCGACCCCGAAACCCTACGCACTTGAGGCTTATGGAAAAGAAATATTGAACACTGATTAACTTTGGCACTTCTCATTAGTCTTAAAAAAAAAAAAAGCTTTAATTTACACACCATAAAATCCATCTGTTTTATGTGTACAATTGAATGATTTTTAGTGAATTTTCAAAGTTGTGCAATCATGCCCAGGTTTGGTCTTTAATCAGTTTCTGAGGTTTAAGAAAGTTTCCATGAACCATTAGTGGTCTCAGAAATACATACCAATAATGCCAATTCATACTGAAATCCAGACAGTATAGCATTTTGCTTTTCAAAAATTCTGGAACCCGGAACCCAGAACATTCTGCTGCTATATTAAGCCCAGGAAACCGGAATCACAGTATCTACAGGATTTCATAGGATAATCTCCCTACACTTCTTTCTCCTGCTTCAGAACTTTCGCTTTATGGACCCACAGCCGGTTAATAAGCGGAGCCTCATTCTCGCGAAAACTCGGTGGTGGGAGGGGTCCTCTCACGGAGATCTTCCGGAAAGGGGCGGGGCCTGCGTTCCGGAACTTTTCGGACAGAGGCGGAGTCTTCTGCCGAGGGCCATTCGGAAGCAGGCGGAGCCTACCTCGCATCAGGACCAGTCTGACTGCACCTGCATCCTTAGCTCAGAGCATCCTTGGAGCATCTTAAGAGGCGAGCGCAGCTGGCAACCAGGGACCGGACCGTCGCAGGAGGCTTCGGCCGGATACCTACCCTCTCCCCTGACCTAGAGCTCTACAGCAGCTGCCTCGGTACTGACCCGGGGTTCCCAGAGTTGTCTGGCCATTGCAAAAACATTTATATCAACAGCCTCTGATTACGACATGGCCGAGATCACCAATATCCGACCTAGCTTTGGTAAGTAGAGTCGGGCAAACTAAGCTTGAGGTGGACTAAACCGTTGCAAGCCAAGGGGGCCCAACGGCTGGGCAGAGAATGAAGCCCAGACTAGAGCCTTGAAAGTGCCAGCCCTACTAGAATTAGGCCTGTGGTCGTGGGTAGCCAGCAGTGCACAGCGCCTGAACTTGAACTATGGGCTGCAGGGACTGGCAAGGCCAGAGCCACACCGCGGGTGGGGAAGTACAGGATGCTAAAACCTTGTATGGTGCACTGTCAGCACTGCTGGAGGTGAGAAACAGCGAGCCAGCGTGCGGAGGACGTGAACCCCTCCTTCTGGGGGAGGAGAGGTGGGGTAGGCCGAGCCCTCCCCCTTGGGGCACGCAGGGCGGTGCCCCTTCCTCCCCTCCCACTCCTAAGGGCTGCGGGGGAGGGAGGTGACAAGGGGGATGGGGCATCAAGATGGCAGCTTGGAGACTGTGGGTTGTGTGGCTGGCAGCCAAGGGAGGCGGCGGCCTCTGGGGAAAGAGGGGTGCGGGGGTGGGGAGCAAAAAGGAAGCCACTCCTTAAGCTGGTCAGCTGGATGCTGGGGCTGGGAGGAAACGTAAGCCCTGCAAGCTCCATTCTGCATCGTAATGGTGGGGTCTGTCCGATGCTACCAAATGGCGCTTGGCGCTGCTGGGCTGGGGGATGACGTGATGTCTATTCTGGGCCTCCTGGCAGCGCCTAGGCTCTCCTTCCGGGGCCTTTGTTCCCTGTTTCCCTGGGCTAGCTTTTCAAAAAGGGGACTCACCCGCGCTGGTGCTGGCGGGGGCGCGATCCAGGCCGGAGGGGGAGGGGCGAGAGAGGCCCAGCCAGGGGGAGGCCGCTTTGTGTACCAGAGAAAGCATTACGTCATCTTGGAGCGGCTGGTCCCAGACCCAGCCCTATGGGCTCCAAGATTAGTTTTACACTCCCTGGGACAGAAAGTGGAGTGGAAAATAGGGGAAAAGGTGGGAAAGACAAGCTTGAGAAGCAAGTTTTTTTCCTCTTTAGGGACTCCTCCAAAATATGCTAGGGGAACAAACTTCCTGTGCTATGCTTTTCTGGTCAAATAAATAAATAAAATATAACTGCCCTGCTTCTCCCTCCATTCTACTATAGTTTAGATGGGGAAGCCAATGAGAGTTGCTGCTAGCTTAAGAACGTTTTATTCCTTAAGGGACTCTATCCCTCAGAAAATCCAGAAGGTTTGAGGTATTTAGGGTAGGGACACAATCCAGCTAGGAAATGGCTTTTCTCACTCCCAAATAAGAGGTATATTGAAATGAGCAGAACCCAATGTGCTCTATCCCCTCCCTCAATATAAGGAAGACGTCAAATCAGGGAAAATATTCAGATAACATATCTTCACACTCTACTACTTATTCCCACATATTCCCCAAGGCTAAATCTTGATTTGTATTTCTTTCTTCTACTTCATCTTCTGCATTTCAATCGTTGGAGTTCCAAGTTTCCAAAGTAAAAGTCCCTTTTGTGATCACATGTATAACCCATGATTTTTTCTTGCTCTTTTTCTCCTTGTGCCTTTCCAACAGATTCCTTTCTCTAATTGCAGTTCCAGAGTCCTTGAAAAAGTAGATAGTGAGGAATGCAATATAGTGATTTCCTTTAGAGGGACTATTATTAGAAAAGGGAAAAGAAATTATATCAGCCTTTTACGTACTATGTTTTATTTAATCCTAACAAATACTCTGCAGTGTAGGTATTATATATATTTGCCAGATGAGGAAACTGAGGCTCAAGGAGATAAAATAACTTGGCTCAAGTGAAACAGACTAGTTAGGGTAGTGCTAGGATTTAAACCAATGTCTGGCTGATGCCAAAGTTCCTTCTTATTCTACTGTATTACACAGTCCTACTTGACAGCAAAAGACCAATGTTTAGGAAAATAAGTGAAAATAAGCAGTTCTGATCAGAGGCTGAAGGAGTCAGGCATAGACCAGATGTATTTTGCAGGTCTCCTACATAGAGAACTGTGGCTTCTGACTTTTTCACATCTCATAGAGTACTTCATTTCGAATGCTGTAGCACTTGGGAGATACACTAAGCCAACACTCAATTTTCCATGACCATGGAGGACAAAAGGAACAAGAAACACAGATCATGGCAATTTACTGATACTTTAAAACACTCAGTTCAGCCATTAGTTTCAACTTCCTTTTCCCGCCAAGCTTTTAACTAAAGCAAGACAGGGAGCTCTGAGTTTCAACATCTCTGATTTTTCTAGTTCACTGTCTTGAGTGTTGGAGAGAGAGGAAGAAGTTAACAAATACTGAAATGAAGAAGAGAATAGAGCAAAAGTGGGAAACAAGGTTGGGGTGAGCACCTTGATAATCCACAAATGGGTCCATCTGTTTCTGTTCTTTTTCCTCTCTCCTGAAAGATGAGAATTCTTCATCTTCTCTCTTTTCCACCCTACCTCCATTTTCTAACCATAAAAGTTGATGCATTGTAAGCAGCAGTGAGTTCCCTCAAGATCACAGAGTGTATCCATGGTAGAGCTGAAAGACTGCCCAGAAATCTCCCAATCTGGGCCTTTAGATCTTTCTTTCCAATCATTCTCAAAAATATACCTCTCTTGGTAGTTCCCTGCTTTCCTCATAGAGATAATTAATGTTCAGTTTCACTAATCAGTAGCAAGCAGTTTGCAATAAAGCCCCTGATTGGTGAATGGAGAGCCACTTCTTTAGACTGTGCCCATTCTTATTGACTTGAATCCAATCAGTTGTTCAAACAAATGCAAGATGCAAGAGACTCTGAGGGATTCAAAGATGAACAGGATGTTGCTCCTGCCTGCCCTCAAGGAGCTTACCACCGATGCTGCCTCTTCTCCCTAAAAGCTCTTATTTCATTGATACTTTGAGACTAAACACTATTATTATTCAGTTTGGACATGGCAATGGACCTGGTCACCTTGATTTATTTTGTTAATAGTGGCTTTATTCCATATACTTCTTCTTTTCTTATCTGGTCCCAACTTTCATAGAACCGTGGAATGTTGAGGTAGAAAGAACTTCAGATACATCTAGATCAATCCCCACTGAAGAAATCCCTTTTGGAATGTGCCCAACCTATGGTGATCCAACCTCTGAAAATTTTCAGTTGTAGAATTACTGCTTCCCATCCAAGTACTAACCAGGCCTGTCCCTGCTTAGCTTCTAAGATGAGACTAGATTATGTGCATTCAGGGTGGTATGGCCGTAGACTGAGAATTACTGCCTCATGAAACAATCTTGGCTATTGTGAGGCAGTTCTAATAATAATTTGACTGTTTTCAAATCTGTCTCCCTGTTGCCTGTACACATTGGTGCTGGGCCTACACTCCAAAGTAAAATCAAATCAGACCCTCTTCCATCAAAATACCTAAAACAATTATAATTGAAGATTACTATTATTCCTAGACACCCCCAACTCCAGTTCCTTCACTTTTTCTTCATTTGACATGATTTCCAGGTTTTTAACTTTTTTTTTTTCTATCCTGATTATCCATATTGTAGAGTATGGACTCTGGTGTCAGACCAGAGTTTAAATCTCAAAACTGCCATTTTCTAGTATGTAGCCTTGGGCAGATTTCTGAGTTCCTAGGTTCCTCAATTATAAAGTGGAGATATTAGCTGGGCCAGGTAAATCATGCCTATAATCCCAGCAACTTGGAAGGCTGAGGCAGGAGGATTGCTTGAGGCCAGGAGTTCAAGGTTACAGTGAGCTATGATTGTGCCACTGCACTCCAGCCTGGGTAACAGAGTGAGAGCCCATCTCTTAAAAAAAATAAATAAATAACAAAGTGAGGATATTAATGGTACCTACTTATTCAATGAGTTCTTTGATTCAGAGACAGTAAGCTTTAGCACAATGCCTGGCAGGGACATAATAAATGTACACAAAAAATTGTAGTTTTTATTATTGTTAGTGCTGTACAGAATACTCCATGTGTGTTGTGACCAGTGCAGATGAAATTATACCTACCTCTTGTGTGATCTGGACATCATGCTCATAGTATAAGTTGGTATTAACCTAATTGTAGTCCAAGCTTGTGGCCACCTAAACTACTGAGTCGTTTTACCTAAAGTTGTCAAGTGAGATTATTGTCTATAGATAGATTTTAAGTCCAAATAAAAATTTACATTTATCCCTCATATATGTGATCATATTGACTTCATCCTCTTTTTCAATCTGTGGAGGCTGTTTTGAATTCACTAACTCATTTGCTCACTGAGCACTTACTATGTGCCACATTGTTCTAAGACCTGGGAATATAGCAGTGAACAAAACGAAGTTACTGTTCTTATTAAACTTATCTAATGAGGGAAGACAGACAAATAAATATATATCAGGGTAATAGGCGCTATGAAGAAAAACAGGGGTATTATCTGACTTAGCGCAGACAGGAAAGGCTTCTCTGATGAGGTGAGGTGTTAGGCCTACAGTAAGGGAGGCGGTGAGCTACACGGAAGCCTGGTGCAAAGGTGTTCCAAGAAGAATCTGAAATATGCTGGAATTACAGTTACTTCCTTAGTTCTACCTGCCTTCCAAGTCTTCCCCTAAAAAGTAAGGTGGAAAACTACAGGCCTTATCTAGACCTTTAAGGCCCAAAGCCCATTTGGCTTCAATGAACTTGAGTGGGGAAAGAGCCTGAACCTAATTATGTAAGGCAAGGACCCAACTTTTGTGAAAAAAGACAAGACTAGTGTAAGGGAAAAGAAAAGAAAATCTATTTTTCTTTAGTTATTTATTCATCCAACAAATATATATTGAGTGCCTGCTATGTGTTTTAAGTGATGAAGATACAGCAATGAACAAAACAGACAAAAATTTCTGTCCTTATGAGGCTTACATCCTAGTGAAGATAAACATTAAATAGTAACATTTTGTCTGGGGAGTGTGTGTGTATTTATTTATTTATTCTTATATGTGTGTGTATGTATTTTTTTTATGTGTGGAGGTGTGAGAGAGAGAGAGCAATAATGACAAGGCATGTGAAAAAAAATTAAGAAGGGCTAGGAAGAGTGGATGTGGGGGGTGGAAAAGGTTGCACTTTTAAATAGGATAGTCAGAGAAGGCCTAAGAAGGTGACATTTGAGCAAGGATCTGACATTTTTCACAGTCCCTATTTCTTCCTGT